GCTGACGCAGCCCCGACCCCGGAGCCAGCTGCTGACGCTGCTGCTGCTGAGGCTGCTGGGAGGAAAGGGGCTGCTGCTGCTGCTGAAGGTGCTGCTGACGCTGAGCCTGGTACCACGCCGCTGCTCCACCTAGCGGGGCCGACAGTACAGGAGGCGACTGACGAGCTCGAGGGTCGCTGCCACCAGCAGGTGCAGTGGAGTCACCGGCCGCTGCACGAGGGGTCTCTCCAGACGCTGCACTCCCACCACCGCCAGTCGCAACAGCACCCCCACTACCTCCGCCACCTCCGCCTCCACCTCCACCGGAACCACCTTTCTTGCCCCCCCTGCCGCGGGACCGCGACGCAGTCGTAACAGCAGCCGCAGTCGCGTCAGTAGCGGCAGTGGCAAGAGAGGCAGCGAAGGTGGGTAACTGCGGGACTGTGCACCCGTGGAAGAGTGGGGGGGATACAGTACCAGAGGCGGCAGCTACCGAACGAAGGTTGCTCTCGACATCCTTGAGTGCAGACTCAAGGACCTCGATAGTCAGCTCACTAGGGTGCTTCAGCAGAAGCGCGTCACGAACGGAGGCAAGGCGGTCAGGGAGGCTAGTGGCGATGAAATAGACAGTAATCGCCATGGGGGGAGGAAGCAGTGCAAGCTGTGCCTCAGTGCAAGCAGCGCGGTAACTAGCGTCAAGCGAGCGGAGGTGAGCGATCAAGTCAGCAGAGCGCTCAAACGAGGCAAGATCAGGAAACAGGAACGGGAGGAAAAGACGGCCGAGAGAGACAGTAGCGGGAGTAGAGTAGCGGGCCTTAATCGCAGTGAGGTACGCAGCAGCGGTGCGAACCTGAGTAAAGTGGACCTCCTCGGACTCAGGGAGGAGGCTGCTGAGTGCGATGCAGGCCGCAGCGTCACGCGACGTCCAAGCCGTCCGGTCAGCGCGCTGACGGGCAAAGCGAGCCGTAGCAGCATCGTCAGGAGCAGGGCCTAAAGCTGTAGGCTCGGGGGGCTCGGGGAGGTCACCAGTAGCGTGTGACCAGAGGGTCTCGCCCCCCTGGACCTGACTCTCTAACAGACGACGAGCGCGAAGAAGCCAGACGGAAAAGTCAAGGGGTCTACCGTCGGCGTCGAAACGAAGAACTCGCGGAGTCGCCATAGTGAGAACGAACAGGCGAGTAACAACCGGGGGGGGAAGAGGACTCAGTCGCAGCGGAAGAGTGGGCTAGGACGACGGGCCAAGACGTAGGGTAGGGCAACGGGCCAGGGCCTAGGGTAGGGCGACGGGCCAGGGCCTAGGAAGGGCGACAGGCCAGGGCCTAGGGAGGGCGACGCGACGGGGGAAAGGTCAGGGCGACGCGACGGGGCAGGGCGACGCGACGGGACAGGGCGACGCGACGGGGCAGGGCGGCGCGACGGAGCAGGGCGACGGGACAGGGCAGGGCGACGCGACGGGATAGGGCGACGCGACGGGACAGGGCGACGGGACAGGGCAGGGCGACGCGACGGGACAGGGCAGGGCGACGCGACGGGACAGGGCGACGCGACGGGACAGGGCGACGGGACAGGGCGACGGGACAGGGCGACGCGACGGGACAGGGCGACGGGACGGGGGGGGGTAACAGGCAGGCGCGACGCGACGGGGGGAACGGGCGCGACGCGACGGGGGGGAACGGGCGCGACGCGACAGGGGGAACGGGCGCGACGCGACGGGGGGAACGGGCGCGACGCGACGGGGGGAACGGGCGCGACGTGACAGGGGGAACGGGCGTGACGCGACGGGGGAGATGACGCTAGGCTCGGTACTAGGCGCGGTAACTACGAAACTGGTACGAACGAGAGGTAGGATCAGGCTCGGGAGGTACGAACGGAGAACGGAGGAACGGGATCCCACAGGATCCTAACCTAGCTGATACCATGTCAGAATGAGGAATGAGTGTTGCATTGATGTTGGTTGGGGTACATATGACAAACCCTAACTTCTGTACCCCCTAAGACAAACCTCACTACAGGCTACAACATTTGACACCCACCCCCTAAAAAAACGTGTTTTTTTATAACCCCAGGGGCGCTTCTATCCGGGGGCTGACGGTAACCTCCGAGGGTTGACTCGCGGTGCTTCGATTTGAGCTGCTTCGCTTGTAACTTGAGTTTCGACACGACAGAGGCGCTAAAGACTATTTGTTCCCAACACTCGTAACCACCCTTCGCAACCCAAACAGCACTCAAAACATCACCCCCGTCAACCTTAGTAAGCTTGGCCAGCGCGCCCCGCAATCTGGGCCGCGAGCTTTAAGGTGAACGAATTTCTGCAACCATTGCTTCAATACATTCCACATTCGAATGTTACGGTGTAGCTTGCCATTGCCATACCATGTGATGTGAGCAGCAAGCCATCATCAGAGGCAAAATACTGCTCGGCCTGCTGATTTCCAAGCGCCACCTCATGAAGCCACTGCATGACATGCTTTTTTCAAGTGGCAACCCCTTCAAGGCAAGGTGCGGAATGGGCTGCTATGGTAGTTTTACGTAACTACCTCTTGCAGGCAATGTGCTATCTCTCTGCTTCTAATTTCACGTGGGTACCTCTTAAAGCCCAGGTATTGCATGGGTTATTTTAGCCCTGGAGGCACCACTGATGGCTGCTGCAGCTGCTTTGCTTCTAATTTCAAGTGGTTACATCTTGAAGCAAATGTGCTACCTCTTAAAGCCAAGGTACCGCATGGGCTGCTTCAGCCCTGGAGGCACCACTGATGGCTGCCGCAACTGCCTCCTCTGCTTCTTGGTCTGCAGTAGTGAACGATTTAAAGAGTGGGTTGAGAGGCGAATGACAATGGAAAAGAGGGGGGAAGGGGTGAAAACGGGAAAGGAAAGATACGTGGGGGGAGTTGAAAATCCATCACGACGTAGCACAGGAAAAAAAAAAAAAGGTAATGATTTAAAGCATACCTTGGTGCTCGCGTTATGCCTCTTGCCTGCCCGCCACCGCTTGTACTCGCCATTGGCTAGCAGCTTGAACCGGCGCTTGAGTGACCTTCATAGAACCAGTCAGAGGGGAGAGTCGGGAAGTGCAAAATAAGGATAAACGTGCGTGTATTGAGTGTGCTTCACAGAACATCTTGCCAACCCGCCAACGCTTGTACTCGCCATTCGCTAGCAGCTTGAACCGGCGCTTGAGAGAGCTGGACACAGTCAGAGGGGAGAGAAGAGGGAAAGTGGAAAATCAGGATAGGTGTGCGTGTATTCAGTGCGCATCAAACCACATCTTGCCTGCCCACCACCGCTTGTACTCGCCATTGGCTAGCAGCTTGAACCGGCGCTTGAGTGAGCTGGACACAACAGGATGGGAGAGGAGAGGAACGGGAGACAGAAGTATAAGTGTGCGTCATTCAGCGAGCATCGAACCACATCTTGCCAGTTCGCCGCTGCTTGTACTCGCCATATGCTCGCAGCTTGAACCGGCGCTTGAGTGACCTTCAAAGTGCACAATGGAAGAGGGAGGAACGGCAAAAGAAGGATGGGTGCAAGTGTGCTGACGTGGATAGGTTTCCGTTTATTGCATGTCCATTAAAAGAGGGCATTTTAAAGAACTTCATGGGAAAGAGGAAGGTACGAGAAGAAGGGGAGAGTGAGATAATGAACATGGGGGCGGATGGGAGGAGGGAGAGGGAAATAGGATTCGACATGAACAAGGCTGGACTCAAATTGGTTGTGAGTCGTGACAATAATGAAGGGTGACAAAACAGGCGACACACACGGGATGTGATAGAGAAACGGGGTGTGACAGAAGCTGACGTGACTCACGAGTAGGGTTTGACTTTGATCTTGCTGCCGAACAATCGTCGGGCAGAGAGTACAGACGAAAGGACAGATGAAAGGGCAGATGAAGGAATGGGAGTGCTGGTGATAGCGCTGGAGGTTAGAGACGGCTTTAAACTGCGGCTGATAGTGGCACCGTCCGCTAGTCTTGAGAGGCTACTAACTGAAAAGTTACTGAAGGAACAGCTAGCTGTAGGGGTAATTAGTCGCGATGTAACTGGTCTCCTGATTAGGGGTCTGACGGACAGAGGAAGGGGAGGAAATGACGGAGATCTAGCTGTTGTATACGCGGGAGAAAGTGGGGAAGAAAGGGCGGAGCGATGGGCGGAACGATAGGCGGAAACGTTGGCGGAAAGGTTGGACGGCGAGACGATCGCAGTTCGGGGTGGCGGTGGCCGCGGAAGCCGGGTAAGTTGCCGCGATGCGTGGCTGAAAGCGGCTCGACAAACATGTCGAACGGATCGTGAGGACGACATGTGATTGGAGAGGGATAAAATCGCCTCGTCTTCTAGAAAAGGGAGAAAATAGAATCGGTAAGAAGGCTCTGGTCAAGGTGCGCGCGGCGGGAAGAGGGGCGTGGCGGAAGGAAGTTGGCGCAAGGAGGGAAGCGCGCGTGCGGGATGCGCGGGAAGGCGGGATGCGCCGAACGAGATCGTGCTGGTGAGCGGAAGATTGAGCCAGGAATGGGGCGATGGGGCGGGCGGAGGGTTGGTGGTCCGAATTCGCGATGCGGAGAATGGCGGACTGGCGATGAACGGCGAGGTTGAGGCGGAAATGGTGGCGGCATGGATGGTGGTGGTGTAGATACGAGAAACGGGACGTCCGCGTTAATAGTTGTGAATCACTACTACCAGTGTTACAGTTGTCACGATTATTTGAAACGCTAGACACCACATTTCAACAAAAATTAATCTTCATTGTCATCACATGCGATTGGTTACATGTCATCGTCCTCGTCTTCCATTTCCTCCTCCATTTCTTCCTCAATCAAATCCTCCTCCTCCTCTATCCCTTCTCCATCATCGTCCAACTTCATCTTCCCAGTTCGTCTGGCCAATTCCTTCTCTCCCGCAGAGTCCGCACGAAACCGGGCCATCTCCGCACTCTGCCTCTCCGCCTCTTTTTTCTCCTTCTCTGCTCTCATCTTCTCCAAGTCAACCCTGCATGCCAAGCAGTTTGAGAAGAAAAGGAATACACAACAATCAAGCAGAGTCGGCACAGAACCGGGGCATATCCGCACTCTGCCTATAAGCCTCTTTCTTCTCCTTCTCTGCTCTCATCTTCTCCAAGCCAACCCTGCATGCCGAGCAGTTTGAGAAAAGTACCAAAACAATCAAGGAGATTCAATGAGAATGAGAAATGTATGCAGCAGTGCCGAAAGATGCGACATGAAAAGCACTTGGGAGGCCGCACAATTGAAAATCGATGGAAAGTACTGCAGACACCCCCCACTAGGTCAATATTCAAGCAATTTTCATCCGAAACAGGCACTTTCTGAGTCAGCTTTTGAGGCTCCAAAATCTAAAGCTGCTCTCACCTGTAGCCTTCCATGTACTCTTTTCTGGCCGCCTCTACAGCGGTGAAAAACTCATTAATACCCCCTCCTGTGACAGCTGAGACTCCAACGGCGTGCAGGTTGGAGTAAAACTCGTCCAAGGCGAGGCAGAGGGAGCGGGAGAGCGAGGCGGCGTAGGAAGGATCTCGATCCACTGCTGCTTGAAAGGCTTCAAAGTCCCGCATCCACTGATGGGGGGAGGGGGAGGGGCATGGGGGAGCATGAGACAGAGGGAGCACGGAGAGGCAGAGGGAGCGAGTGGGGAGGCTGCATAGGAAGGGTCTCGATCCACCGCTGCTTGAAACGCCTCAAAGTCCCGCATCCACTGATGGGAGAAGGGGGAGGGGAGGGATGGAGAAGAGGCAGAGGAAAGAGGCAGATAGGGCGAGGCAGAGGGAGCGAGAGGGGGAGGCGGCGTAGGAAGGGTCTTGATTCATGGCTGCTTGGAATGCTTCGGTGTCCCGCATCCACTGGTGGGAAAGAGAAGAGTGGAGGCGTGAAGAAGAAGCACTGTATGATTCTTTAGGCGCCCAAGAAACTCCCATATGTCATGCATCCAGTGATGAGGGGGAACGGGGGTTGAATGAAGCACGGAAGAGAGATCCAACCAAACACTCATCTAATAATGCTTGAAACACATCAAAGTCACTGGTTTTTGTGAATACAAACGAGAATTCAACAACATACTCAAATTCTCAAAAACCAGCTTGAAACACCTCAAAGTCACTGCTTAAACCCGTTGACGTTTGAGACGTCTCAAAAAACACCTCAAAGTCACTGCTTAAACCCGGGGAACTGCAAACCTAAACCCATTAGCCCCTAACCTCTTGATAACAAAGTCACTGCATAAACCCCAAACCACTTGATACCAAGCCCCTTAACCCAGAACATTATCATACCTCAACTGCAAAGTCGTGCCGCGCCATGTCGGTCCTGTTAACCATCAGCAGCAGCGTAACCGCGTCTTGTTACAAAATCCCATTCCACACAAACTTATAATACCCCAAATACCTTAAACCCGAGCATACCTCAACTGCAAAGTCGTGCCGTGCGACGTCAGTCTTGTTAAACGCCAGCAGCAGCGGTAACCGCGTCTTGTACAGAATCCCACACGCGTACAGCATGCTGCTTATAAAGGTGCCGGGATTTGCCGCCCGGGGTGTGTCCACTACAAAACAAACGGCCGTGGGAAACGTGGAGGCGAAGGCTTCGGTAATGATTGCTCCGGAAGCTGACCAGGTGAAAATTTCGATCTGCCCGGGCGTGTCAATGAAAACGTAGTCGAGAGTGTCGGCTCGGCGCTCCACGAGTGTGATAACCTGAGAGGTGTGTGTGACACAGTCACAAACAGGAATGCAAAACGGCAGAGAGGAATAAGGTTCAGCAACACGTAGAATGGACTCAGTTAAATGGCCTGGGTGTGTCGATGAACATGTAGTCAAGCGAGTCGGCTCGGCGCTCCACGACAAGTGTGATAACCTGAGAGGTGTGACAGTAACGAAATGGAAAGGGGGGAGAGACAGGAACAATAAGCGACAGAGAGAAGCTCAGCGTTGTGGGATTAATTACAGCAGGTGTGTGACAAAAACGAAGCGAGAGTGATTGAAAGCGGAAGGGCAGCGGAGGACCAGAGGCAGACAGAGAGAACAGAAGGTCGGAAGCATCTGTGATTCCAACAGAAACTCTCCAACATAGCTTCTGTGAGGATTTTTTTTAGTTTTGAGAGGATTTTTTTTAGTTTTGAGAGGATTTTTTTTAGTTTTGAGAGGATTTTTTTTAGTTTTGAGAGGAGAGCTTTGAGTCGACTCAAAACACGCACCTCGTCAATCTTGGTCGTGAAGAGATTCAATGAGGTGAGAATCGCGCCGTTGGGTCCGAGCCCATACTCCTTCATCACGTTCTTGTAGTTCACCGTGTCCCGAATGTCAATGTTGGCGAGGTAGGGCACGGAGGGCACAGCCGGGTCTAGGTTGATGAGGTAGTGGGCGATTTTGCTGCCGTGCATGTGTGCGTTTAGTCGCTGTATGAGAGTCGTTTTCCCACTGCCTGTTTGGGGAAAAGAGCAGGGAGGGCACAGCAGGGAGGAGGTTGATGAGGTAGTGAGCGGTGCTGCTGCCGCGCACGTGTGCGTTTAGGCGCTGAGTGATTGCTGCTGCCGTGCATGTGCACGTTTAGGCGCTGAGTGATTGCTGCTGCCGTGCATGTGCGCGTATAGGCGCTGAGTGATTGCTGCTGCCGTGCATGTGCACGTATAGGCGCTGAGTGATTGCTGCTGCCGTGCATGTGCGCGTATAGGCGCTGAGTGATTGCTGCTGCCGTGCATGTGCACGTTTAGGCGCTGAGTGATTGCTGCTGCCGTGCATGTGCGCGTATAGGCGCTGAGTGATTGCTGCTGCCGTGCATGTGCACGTATAGGCGCTAAGTGATTGCTGCTGCCGTGCATGTGCGCGTATAGGCGCTGAGTGATTGCTGCTGCCGTGCATGTGCGCGTATAGGCGCTGAGTGATTGCCACTGCCTGACGCACGTTTAGGGTTTGAAAGGGGGGAGAGGGGGGAAAGAGGGGGAGGGTGGGGAGGTGGTGGAGTGCTGAGTCGTCTTATAACGGGTACGACGCTCCACAGCTGTAGTCTTGGCGCTCTCTGTTTTTGTTGGGGGTTTGTTAGAGGGGTGTTTGTTGGGGGTTGAGGGGAGAAGGGAGAGGGGAGAGGGGAGAGAGACGGCAGAAAACAGGAAAGAAGGAAGAGAACAGGAAAGAAGGAATAGAACAGGAAAGAAGGAAGAGAACAGGAAAGAAGGAAGAGAACAAAAAAAAGCGGACGGCCGGGGATAGGTGAATTATTTGCGATGAAAAAATGCACAAACGATTATGCTGGAATCCTGCCAGCAGAAGGACATCACCAGGGGTTCAAGATTCCTGGGTTCGGTTACAGCCAGGCAGTACCTGCCCACCACGGCATCACCAGGGGTTCAAGATTCCTGGGTTCAAGATTCCTGGGTTCAAGATTCCTGGGTTCAAGATTCCTGGGTTCAAGATTCCTGGGTTCGGTTACAGCCAGGCAGTATCTGCCATGCTCACCACGGCATCACCAGGGGTTCGGGATCGGGTACACCCAGTGAGCGATTTTCGAGAATTCTCAAAAAACGCTCACAAGAATTCTCAAATATCGCTCACGAACGATTATGCTGGAATCCTGAAAGCACAAGGACATCACCAGGGGGTGGGGTTTAGTAAGACAGTACCTGCCATGCCCACCACGATTTTTGAGAAGGACGATTTTTGTCCCTCCTGACCGTCTCAAAATTCATGAAAGCACAAGGACGTCACCAGGGGGTGGGGTTCAGTAAGACACCGGTGGGGTTTACCTGCCATGCCCACTACAATCACAACCACCGGCTTCTTCCGCCCGCCCCCCTCCCCCTTCTGCTCCGCCTGCCCCTCGGAATTCCCGCTCCCTTCCCCCTGCTGCTCTGCCGGCGGATTCCCTTCAGCCTGCGCTTCCGCCTGGCGCGACGGCGCACTCCCTTCCCCCTGCGCGTCCGCCGACCCTGCGCGCGCGCTCCCTTCCCCCTGCTGCGACCCACTTTCCCCAGACCCCCCTTCCCCGAATTCACCTCCCCCGGTCCTAGTTTCCCCAGTTCCAACCGGTAGATCGTTTCTACCTGCGGACGACATGACAGTGCGGCGTTTCGCAGGCTGGTCTGCGAAACAGTTCTGAGAGGTTCCGGGTGTAGGATCTACCTAAAACGAGTCAATGAGTCTACAAGTAAATGAGTCTACGAGTCTGCGAGCTTACAAGTCAACGAACGAGTTGATTCTCCGAATTAAGATTGGGCGCCTGAAGGGGGAACAGACTAAGGGCACTGATTGAATAACCGCTGACGACTATGCACTAAAAGTCGTAGGCTGGTACTATCTAGCACGAAAGTAATCGGGAAACGTTAGAACGAGTTAGCCTACTTGAAAGCTACAGGTGCATTGTGGTGCTGAGGTCAAATGCGTACGCGTTGTGAGCAGTCCTTTGTAATATACAAACCTTCAAAATGATAATATAAGCGAATCTCGATAAATTTCAGTATCTCGTCTATCAACCCTTCATTCATCCCGTCTCCGGTTTTACACAAACCGGAAGCGCTACTACAACGAGCAGTAAGCAGAGCAGGGGAAGATTAAACGCAAGCCTTAAATATCGGGCAGGTTTCCGTGCTTAGGGTTAACTCTGATTCGGTATCACCTTTCCAACTCTGTGAAGTCTATCGATTGGTCCGTTTCTGCTTCCAACCCCTCCCTCCCACCCTTACCCCTGCAAAAGCGTGTGTTCTTCCCCGCGATTTTCTCCCACTACAGCTGACAAAAATCATACTAGACGAAAAAGAAAACCCTGCAACTTCGGACATCCCCAAACAAACACACTGCCAAACGTTGACGAAGTTGCGCCTACCACCCTACCGTGGCCAGGTGAAGGTGGGTCGCAACACAGGTCGGATCTGGCAGGTTTTACCCCTGCTAGCAGGTCCGACCAGGCAGGGTGCACCAAAATAAATCGAGAGCCCTGCTCCCACCAACCTTGTTACATGGGGAGTCTTCAAAACTTGTCCAGCGGAGTCTAGTAAACTTGTCCCATTCACTTGTTCAGGCAAAGTCTATTAGCCTTGTCCTGACTTGACAAGTCTACCAGGCTTGTCCCATTCACTCATTATTTTCGCACCCGAACCGCCCTCCGCGGTATATTACTACTAGCAGTTGTCAATGACATTTCAGCAGAGTCTCGCTGCTCCCCACCATGGCGAAAGTCGACAAGCTCAGCAACTAGGGCAGACGCAGCAGTGGACTCAAAGGAAGGGTCAGTGACAACAGTAGCTAGGAGACGCGTGATAGAAGGACTAGCAGCACGAAGAGAGTCAGACTCCGGGTCAGCAAGAGTAGGAAGAGAGGACTCTGGAGGAGACGGCAACGGGACACGCAGAGGAGCAGTGGAAGGACGCAGCGCCATCTGGTGTGTGCCGGGGACCGCAGGAGGACGCGGACGCGCAGTACGACCACTAGTGCGAGCAACACGAACAGGCGACGCAGGACAAGACGCAGGCTCACGACGCTCAGCAAGACCTCCAGTAGGACCAGTGTAGGGAGAAGGAGCAGGTAGAGGGGAGGCGGGCTGTAACTGTGACTGCGACTGGACAGGCTGTGGACACTCTAAGGGAGGAGCAGGACCAGTAGAGGGCGGGAGACCAAGAACCTGCTGACGGAGCGGAACGAAGTACGGCCTCGGTCGGCAGCGCCTCCTGAATCAGCAAGGACAGCACCAGTACCCCCAGCGGCAGCACTAGCGCCAGCAGCACCTCTAGCTCCAACAGCGCCAACTCCAGTACCCTCAGAAGCACTAGCGCCAGCAGCCCCGCCAGCGCCAACACCCCCAGCAACTCCAGCTCCAGCAGCTCCAACTCCAGCAGCACCAGCTCCAGTAGGACCGTCAGCTCCAGCAGCCTCAGCAGCACCCCCAGACGCACCAGCGCCAGTAGAAACACCAGCGCCAACACCCCCAGCAGCTCCAGCTCCAGCAGCACCAGCACCGCCAGCAGCTCCAGCAGGACCAACTCCAGTAGCCCCAGCAGCACCCCCAGTCCCAGCAGCTCCAGGACCGCCACTACGAGCACCTCCGAGACCAGCAGCAACAGTAGCACCTCCAGCTCCAACAGCACGTCTCCAGCGGCGGGCAAACCACTCACGCAGCTCCTGTGGAGAGAGTGGCTCCCACCTCGACGAAGCACCGCCGGCGGCCACAGGGGCAGACCCAGCACCCCTAGGCTCCGCACCCCCAAGCTCCGCACCCCCAGACCCAGTACCCCCAAGCTCAGCACCCCCAAACTCAGCATCCCCAGTCTCAGCACCCCCAGACTCAGCACCTCCAGACCCGGCACCCGCAGGCTCAGCACCTCCAGCAGCACCAGAGTCAACAGCTACCTCGATAGGCCCGACTGCGTCTGCCTGGGACACACCTGACGGGGCAGGACCCTGAGGGGGGAGGGGGTCTACCGGGGGAGGACCTGGCGCAAGGAAAAGCGGCGGCGGGGGGAGGGGCGCAGTGTGGTAGGGGAAGAGACGGTAGTAAGGCACCGACTCGTCAAAGGTGACATTCTGGGAGGATAGAATACGGCGCGAGGTGGGGTGGTAAAACTACCACCCAGGCGCGTCAGGGGGGAAGCCAAGGAAGACTTAGGGAACAGCACGGGGGGACAGCTTGTCCGCAGACAAGTCGCGGACAAACGCCCGAGATCCCCAGACCTGAAACGCAGACGCATCGCCAACCTTCCCCGTCCACCGCAAGGCGAGGAAGGTCTCTGGCAAGGAGACCCGGGGCTGAAGGTTGAGCTGATGCGCGGCGTACTGAACCGCAAACGGCCACAGAAAATGGGGGGCAGCCGCATGCATCATGGACGTACGAGCGACGTCCATGACCATGCCAATGCGGCGCTCAGCAATCCCATTTTGCTGTGTAGAGGCCGGAAGCGTGAAGGTTTGGCGGATGCCCTGTGCACGACAGAAGGCTCCTAGACAGGCAGAGGAAAACTCCCCGCCTCTGTCCGAGTGCAGACGCAGAATAGGAAAGTCCGAGCCGAAACTCTCCCTGAGCTGGAGACGAGCTGCGCGGATCCAGTCGATCAACACCTCAGTGACGTCACCCTTGCTGCGCAAGGGGAAGACTGTGGTGTAACGCGAGTAGTCGTCATCCACCAGCAGGAAGTACCGCTCGTGCCCCTGCCCACGGACGCGGGCAGGGCCCCACACATCCATGTGGAGGGTCTGTAGCGGAGCCTCTGTCGGAGGAAACTCGGAGGAGTGAGGGGCGGCGCGCTGTCGCCCCTCGACGCAGGGGACGCAGGTAGGGCCAGGCCCCGGAGGTAGGGGAGGGAGAGACCTAGGGAGACCAGAGACAAGGACACGGGAGGCCATGCCTCGGAGACGAGGCAGGGAGGGGTGACCAAGGCGGTGGTGCCAAAGGAGAGTCTGGTGGGACAGTAGACGACACGAGCAAAGAGCAGACTCAGGACCAGACCTGGACGCTGCAGCAAACACCTGACTCGACGCAGCTACCTGGCCAGACTCAGCATTCGAAGGAGACTCAGTAGTAAGGGTGTACAGGGTCAACCCTGGCCGACAGGTGAACGTGGCCAAGTGTCGGCCTGTCCGAGCACACGTGCAGTGGGTCACTCGCTGACTCGCAGGAGTGAACTGGTCAACCCCCCTATCCTGTAGGTCCGCTCCACTCACCAAGTTCGTAGAGAACGAGGGGAGGTAGAGACCTGACAGGGTGCCAGAGGGGGCTGCCGGGCACGGTAAGAGAGTGGAGAAGCTAGCAAGGACTGCCAGGGAGACTGCAATCGGCCGACTGAGCGGCGTAAGAGTGGTGCGGTCTCGAAAGAAGGAGCGGGACACACCCGAGTCAAGGGTGAAGGTGTGTAAGGCCTGAGCCGACGTAGTACCTGAGAGAGCAGACTCACCAGCACATGGGGCAGCAGACGCACTAGCACCTGGGGTAGCAGACGCACTAGCACCTAGAGCAGCAGCCTCACCAACACCTAGAGCAGTGGCCTCAATGCCCGGGTCAGGCGGTAGACACAGATAACAGTCACCCTCAACACTAGTAGTCACAGAATACATGGCAGCAAGGATAACATCATAATCAAGATCAAAGATGGCAACCCCCGCCCTAGACATATCTCCCCAGCGAGGGATCTCTGACGCCTCAGGGAACTGGCGACGCCACGCGTTCGTCAGGCGACCGAAGCAGCGCTGGGTGGAGTGCGGGCCCCCGCACTGCTCACCAGCTCGGTCGCCGGTACGGAGGACGTAAGTGCAGGGACCAGTACCCCCACCGCGCTAACGCGCAGCGTACCACTTACGAAGTTGCTGAGGAGATAGGGTCACACCACTCCGCTGCGGCTGGCGCAGACCACCACCTGAGCAACTCCTCTGCGGAGAGTCGCGACCCGCTCCACCACTGCTGCCGCCGCCGCCGCCGCCTCCGCCGCCTCCTCCACCTCCGCCTCCTCCGCCACCTCCGCCGCCTCCGCTCCCTCCGCCACCACCGCCGTCTCCTCCGCCTCCACTGCTGCCGCCGCCACTGCCACCCCCGCCACCACTCCTACCACCACCGCCACCCCCTCCACTGCCTCCACCACCACCTCCACCGCCCCCGCCAGCCCCTCCAGCGCCCTTGCCCCCCTTGCCCTTGCCGGTGCGGCGTCTCCCGCTAGGGGCAGACGCAGCGTCGACCGACTCGAAACCAACGAGATCGGCCGCAGCAGCAGAAACAACAGAGGGCAAGAGGGGGGAGGGGGAACACCCCTCAAAGACGGGGGTGCGAGGGTCACCACGAGAGGCTCCTACAGCGACTATGCTCTTCTCTGCTGCTAGGAGTCCCTTCTCGAGGAGGTCAACGGTGAGAGTGGTGGGGCAAACTGAGAGGAAGTGGTCCCTGACTACGCGAAGAGAGTCAGGGAGTCGGGTGACTATGTAGTAGAGGGTGATGTACATGGGGGGGGGGTTCTTGGCGCAGAAGTCAGCAGGAAGCGCAGCGCGGTAGCGAGTGTCACTAGTGCGGAGGTGCGTAATGAGGTCAGCGACTGTGGGAAAGGCAGCATGGTCAGGGAAGAGGTACGGTAGCATGAGGCGAC